ATGAAAATTACAGGCCTCTCTCACCTTTTTAAGTGGGAGAACTTGCACAATTGGTGGCTGACTAAATACTTTTTTGCCCCACTGTATATGTTTTATCTTGGATATTCTCTTACTGCATTAATAAGCAATGCATTTTATTAGTGGTAATAGCCTCAATAAGCATACATTAGATACTAATGTGTCATTAGCATAATGACAATTAATTAGTAGCCTTGGTATTTAGGAACAAAAATACTGTAAGAAAAATGACAACTTTTAAACTACAGTTAATATTTTTTAAAAGCGTGCTTTTTTAAAAAAAAAGATGAAATGAAAAAAATAAATATTTGACAATTATATTAATTGAATAGTCATACCTTGCACTGCCATAGCAACGTTCTTAGATTCCTCTACAGCTGGGACAGTTGTTATAATGTCCTGGTCTTTGTTCCAAAGAAAGAGCTCTCCTGTTTTAAGCATTCCTGCCAACCAAGCTCCTATGTGAAAAAGATTTCAGTGCAACATTTTAGAATGCAATCCTATGTGTACATTTACTCATATTTAAGGCTCACTCTCTTCAATGAGACTCCTTCCCAGTGAAATGCATACTGAATTAAGGTCTAATATTCCAGATCCTTGAATAATTTTAAATCATACTTATGACTAGGAAAAAGCTAACCAACTTACAGCAGAAACAACCGAAGAGCTACTAACTTTCACTATTAGAAATTTCTTTCCATTATATAAATACATAGAGGTTTATACACTTATGCAGAAAAAAAATGATAGTGTAATACTTTACCATTTCTTGAGGTCGTTAACACAATAACATTCTTCAGAAAAGTCTGTACTTGGGGAATCTTTTTCTTTGTCTTTCCAGAAAGCAAGTTAATTTCATGTATGTTTTTGTCATCTAACAGAAAAACAGCCTCTTTTTCCTATTAAAAGAAGGGTCAGTCTTTTATTTACATATTACTTTTTTCTTGCTAATGGATTAATTCAAGAATTCTAGCATTATAAGAAACAAAAATATAACATTAAATGACATAATAAACTTGACTCAGAATCACTTTTCTTGACCTTTCCAACAAAAATAAATGTTCCTTGAAAAAATAAGACTTCTCTGCTGTTGAAGCATTTTTTTTTGTAGCAAAAAGATCTAATATGGAATTTTAACAACAACAACGACAATAATTTAGGTTCATAAGGCAGCCAAATCAGAGATTCAAAACAGTTTACAGTTAAAAACTAAATAAAAACAAACACTTTGGGGAGTATATAAAAAGCAATTTCATTGATTATAACCAATTGGGTTATAAGAAACCATAGCACATGGCCTCTTTGAAAAGCCAGGTTTGAAAATATGTATTTTATTTTATTATAGCGGATATTTAAAAACACAGACAAGAAATAAACAAATCAAAAAGAGATAGCATCATGATAATGAATAAAATGTCAAAGTAACATTTGATTAGTACTGCATACTAAAGTATTTTAAATCAATTTAAAACTTCAGAATATTGTTAAAATCAAATAAATATGCAATAACAATAGTCAGCATAATATGAGTCACAAACTGAAATGAAGAATTAGTAAAAATTTATGTCCAAAGAGCTTTATCATTATTTTGTCAATCAAACAAAAACTTTATGATTAGAAAAATCCAAACTTGAAGACCCAGGCTTTCAATGCTTTTCTAAAGTAAAATAGGATATTTTAACCGTCAATAATTATTAAATGAGGATGGATTTTCAATTGCTGAGATAAAAATTACTGTAATTCCTAATCCCATGTTATGATTTATAGGTTGATTATTGCTGTTGATATATTACTTAGATTTTTATTTTTTATTAAACTTTATTGTCATTGTATCTCGTACAAC